TGCGTTAAAGGGGGAGGGGCGGGGCAGGGTGCGTTAAAGGGGGAGGGGCGGGGCAGGGTGCGTTAAAGGGGGAGGAGAAATAAGTGCACTGGTGGCCCTATGAGTATAATTTTAAAGCAACATAAACTATATTGATATAAAACATATTGTCTGATCCTATATCTCGTATGAAAATATATCGATATTTAAAACTTGATCATCGCCCAGCCCTACTTTGTGGGGACCATTTTATTGATGTACATTATGTCATTATGAATTGAACTGTTGAAATCATTTCGTTATGATGTTCAGCATTGGCTCCTGGTTACACATGTGAACGTGGCATTCCGTAGCAGTTAGCAGGTGCTTACATGACAATTACGTCTGCCCCTGTGTCCCATAGAACGTGGTCCAGTGTGTGTTCGTGGCCATTAGGACCATTGGGAATATCCTGATCGTGACCACGCTGCTGCTCTTCATGTTTGCCTGCATTGGAGTGCAGCTCTTCAAGGTAGGCCCATCAGTGTATAAGATTTCAGGATGCTTTGTACTGCATTATGAAGGTATCTATAGTGCATTATAGATGAGAGCTTCATAAAACATTCATAATGCATAATAAACATGGCTACAGTGTGGTATGCTTTTTTATAAATATTTATAGCCATGTTTATAATGCTTTACAAATGCATTATAATGTGGTATGAATGTGTGTAGATTCTGAAAGACATGTTACCCTTTGTGCTGTTTTTCCTGGTTCAGGGGAAGTTCTACGCCTGCACTGATGAAGCCAAGCACACACCAGAAGAATGCAAGTAAGAAGCATGGCAGATAAGGACACTCCAATCCTCCACCTGCATGTCCTCACTGTGGCCTCCTTAGCTCCTCCGTTATCCCGGAGATTCCAGAAACCCATCCTGTTCATGATTACCAGCACGTTTTCTGGGCAGAGGGATGCCGGTTGGTCATGTGACATGGGGTGTCTCTGGGATGTCCTTCAGGGGGACATTCGTGGTGTACAAGGACGGGGACGTGAACCACCCCATGGTGAGGGAGAGGGTCTGGTACAATAACGAGTTCAATTTTGACAACGTGCCTCAGGGGATGATGGCCCTCTTCACCGTGTCAACCTTCGAGGGCTGGCCTGAGTGAGTGTCCCTATGCCGAGGCATTTCATCTGTTTCTGAGGTTGGCTTGGGAGGTTAGATGCTGTTACTCATGTGAAAGTGAATGCAAACATAAACATATGAGTGTGAACCTCTCAGGAGGCTTCAGAGATCCGGCAGTGTCCCTGTCCATAAAATGTCCTTCTCCGTCATTCTTTCTCCTGTCACCTTCAGCCTTTTGTACAAAGCCATCGATGCCAACGCTGAGAATCAAGGTCCCATCTACAACTACCGCGTGGAGATCTCCATTTTTTTCATCATCTACATCATCATCATCGCCTTCTTCATGATGAACATCTTTGTGGGCTTCGTCATCATCACGTTCCGTGAGCAGGGCGAGGCAGAGTATAAGAACTGCGAGTTGAACAAGAATCAGGTCAGCGGCAATAAACACACACACACACACACACACACATGTGGGTTCTGAGACATGGCCTGTTCTGCGCCAAACTTATGAGCGAGCACACGCAGAAGAAGTATGTATGTCAAGCCGGTCTAAACACTGTGAGCTTGGCCTTCACAAGCTGCCAGCCATATGCTACTGTGACACAGGATGTTCTTGCCCTGGAAATGCATTAGCTGGGTCAGAATTAGTGGGTTTCTATTGGGCCCCTGAGCAAGGCCCTTAACCCCCCCCAAACTGCCCCAGGGGTGCCAGATAAATTGCCTGACCCTGTGCTCATTCCCCCAAGGTTCCCTCCCAACTATATGTATGTCTCAGAGGAGAGCATGATGGAATATGTAAAAGGAAGCATTCCGTTGTACTAGTGCAAATAGCAAAAATTGCATCATATATTCTTGAATACAATATGGATAATTGAGTTTGTTACACAACAGTGTTACATTTATGACGTTTAGCCTTCAGACAGATCTTGGCTTGTTCTATGCAGGGATTGAATGGATAAAATCTGACTCCTTTTCTCGTGTCATTGTTTAACTTTTGTGGGAATGAACACGACCGTTTTTCTGTCCCACTGTCCCTCCATCATTCTCAGAGGCAGTGTGTGTACTATGCATTGAAGGCCCAACCTTGGAGACTCTATATCCCCAAGAATCCAACACAGCTGAAGTTCTGGACAATCATCAACTCCACTGCCTTTGAGTACATCATGTTCGTCCTGATCCTGCTCAACACTGTGACGCTGGCTGTACAGGTACCAAGCGTCCCCAATGTCCCCTGCTCCGCGGCGTGGGCACGGTGCTGACTCATCGGTTATTGTGCCTCTGTCTCCACGTTCCACAGCATTACGATCAGTCCAAGCTCTTCAGTTCTGTCATGGACATGCTCAATATAGTCTTCACCTGTCTCTTCACTGTGGAGATGGTGCTCAAGCTTCTGGCTTTGCGCTTCAGGGTAAGATCCCCCTTAGCTGCTCCTAGCCCCTCTGTCTACATCACTGCATTGAATATTTATTTATCCCTGGTGTCTCTGTGAGTGTCTTATGATTATAAAGCTGGTTTCTGGCATCTGTGCCAATCTGTGGCTCTCTAACGCTGATGGCCATGTGTGTAGCACTACTTCATGGATGCCTGGAACTCTTTTGACGCTCTGATCGTGGTGGGCAGTGTTCTGGACATCCTGCTGACGGAGCTGAGTGTGAGTGGGTCTCCTTCACTCGACCATATCACCCTCAACAGCCTCATCAACAATCAGTCCTGTATTAAAGTGCTACTGCACAGACCCTTCGAAAATCCTACTTTAAAATCTCTAGGTTACTGCTGTTAATGCAATATTACACTGAAAAGTATCATAAGATGAACCAATGTAATGAATATTATTTCCAATGAATAAAAATAATTGTAAAAATTCAATAAAATTTACATTGTTAGTGTATTTTACTTATATAGTCCTTTTCCTTTACCCTGTTTTTACTGGGTATTTTAATAATTAGTAATTGAATTAGGATTAATGTTGACAGTATCCCTGATTTGTTTATTTGCTATTTACTTGAAATAAACGCCTCAGTGGGATTGTTCTGCTTTTTTTACGTTGATTCCTTGTTTCCTTTCCCCTGCTGCTCCCTTCCTCTCGTCTCCCAGACCGGACACTCTGCAGAGGTGAGGGGAGACACCTGCCCATTGCTCCTTGGCCAACAATGCCACCATTTTGTTTGGTGCCCCTGCACCAATTGCATCCCTCCTCTTTCTCGCCCCGCCCCCTCCCCAGGGCTCAGAGGAAAGCTCCAGGGTGTCCATCACTTTCTTCCGCCTTTTCCGAGTGATGCGATTGGTCAAGCTGCTGAACAAGGGGGAGGGCATCCGCACTCTGCTCTGGACCTTCGTCAAGTCCCTCCAGGTCGGCTTTCAGTCCGCAGCGCCACAGTGATGACCTGTCTGATCTTTGGCAGTATGGAGCACTGCAATGCTCCTATGACTAGAATAGTGCAGTTACAGAAGCCCCAGCACAGTGCAAACAGCTGAACATCAACAAGGAAACTTAAAAAGAAATTACTAATATGTGCAAGGGAAAAAAAACACATCATGTCGCAATAGTTTGTTTTTATTCCCAAATGTGGTCATTAGTATAACATTGTGGTTCTGTGGGCTGATTAATCAGAGTGGGGGGGCACAGTGGTCAGCATCACACCTCTGGGACCAGGGGGTTTGAGCCCCCTCCCTGGCTCCATGTGTGTGGAGTTTGCATGCTCTTTGTGGGGTTTTCTCTGGAGATTTTGGTTTCCAAAAACATGCTGAGGTTAATTGGAGTTTGTCTGTGAAATTGTCAAACTGTCTGTGAGTGTGCACTGTCACGGGTCTGTCCCCCATCCTGAGTTGTTCCCTGCCTTGTGCCCATAGGCTCTGGACCTCCCTCCCCCTGAATAAGACAAGTGGTTACAGAAAATGGATGGATTAATCAGAGCATGTCCGTTACTACTTTTAAATTGAAGAATATAAAAAATATCCCAGATTTACAAGGCCTATTAGTCTATATCACTCACTAGACCAGGGTTGGGCAATCCTATCCACAAAGGGCCAGTGTGTTTGCAGGTTTTTCGGGTAACCTTTAGCTCAGCTGTTCAAACCCAGGTGTGAGGACTCCTCACCCAATCAGTCCTCTAATTAGTAATCTAATTAGGGAGTTGCAGTGAAAACCTGCATACACACCGGCCCTTTCTGGATAAGATTACCCACCCCTGCACTAGACTGCAATGCTGAGTCTGTCTCCACTGCACTAGGGGGCGCCCCATCCAATCTGTGTCTTCCAATATCATACTCTATGTGATTAAGCTGTCTGTACTGTGTGTCCCGCAAGGCTCTGCCCTACGTTGGCCTCCTCATCGCCATGATCTTCTTCATCTATGCTGTCATCGGCATGCAGGTGCATTCTCATAGGCACATGAAGGTTGTGAAGTTAGGTGCACATTCAACACTGACAAGACCATACAGGTCTCTACATTAAGTAGTTTCTGTAAACTGTTAAAGTCGTTTTGACCTCCATGACAACAGTGGTAGAGAATGTATCTTTTTACATATTTGAACCCTGTATAAAATACATTTATTTGGACCCAAGAATGTAATGTAACTTGCTGTAAGGAAGTTCTCGTAGGCTTTCTGAAGATCAATACTCAGCTCTGAGAATTTCCCACCTCTAAATACCCTTCCGATGATTTCCGAACATCTCCAGTGACTTCTTGTCCAAACCTCCACTATGCTCCAGACTTTTGGGAAGATAGCTCTGCAGGACAACACCAGCATCAACCGGAACAACAACTTCCAGACGTTCCCACAGGCAGTGCTGCTGCTCTTCAGGTGAGCAGACACGAGCACGTCCGGCCCGTTCCTTGCGTGCTGTGGTGGTTTAAGCATACCCGCCCCTCTGGACCATCACAGGTGTGCAACCGGAGAGGCCTGGCAGGAGATCATGCTGGCCGCCCTCCCGGGAAAGCTGTGTGACCCCGAGTCAGACTACGAGCCGGGCGAGGAGTACACGTGCGGCAGCAACCTGGCCATCGTCTACTTCATTAGCTTCTTCATGCTCTGCGCCTTCCTGGTGAGGCAGGGCAGCTCGTGGACACGCCCCATGTGGGGAGACCGGCTCTGTTCGAGCCCTGCTCCTTTTTACTTGTCTTCTTTTCTTTCTCTCAGATTATTAACCTCTTTATCGCCGTTATCATGGACAACTTTGACTATCTGACACGCGATTGGTCCATTCTTGGCCCCCATCACCTCGATGAGTTCAAAAGACTGTGGTCTGAGTATGACCCTGAGGCCAGGTCAGTTCCTTCCCACCCCATCCTCAGTTTTACTCTCTCACTTTCAGTCTCTCCCTATCTTTCTGTCTCTTTCTCCCCCTCCCTCTTTCTCTCTCCTCCTGTTTCACTCCCTCCGTCCCCCCCAGTATTTCTATTCTCTCATTCTCTCTCCCTCCCCCTCTCTACCTCCTCTCCTGTCTCTTGCTCGTTCTCCCTCTCTCCCTAATCTCTCTCTCCCCCCTCTCAGCTTCTCTCCCTCCTTCCCCCTCTCTGATGTTCTCTGACGTTCTTTAGCTCTGCCTCTTACCGTTTTCACGCTGTCAGTCTTGCTCCGCTCAGCCGCGGTCTCGTGTTGCAGTGGCCGCATTAAGCATCTGGACCTGGTGACGCTGCTTCGCAGGATTCAGCCTCCGCTGGGCTTTGGGAAGTTGTGTCCTCATCGAGTCGCCTGCAGGGTACCACCACACGCTGTCCTTGCAGAAATTCCTGTGCCCTTGCTTCTGTCTGTGCTGTTCGATGGCTGAGCTTCTGTATAATGCAGACTGTGCTTTCTCTCTTGCTGTGGGTTTTCTGTTGTCCCTGTCTCATTGGCCACGCCCATCCCATGCCCACAACAGAGACTGGTGGCCATGAACATGCCACTGAGAGGCGACGGTATGGTGACCTTCAACGCCACCCTGTTCGCTCTGGTCAGGACAGCACTAAAGATCCGCACAGATGGTCAGTCATATGCCCTCATAGGGAGGTTCAGCGGCCAGAGGCACCACCCACAGCCCAAAATGTCATTTGGGATAGATATAGTGAAGGATGTTTCAGTTCTGCCCCCTACAGGCAACATGATGTAGTGCACTTTCAGAACTGGGCATTCCCTAACATAAATAGTAAATTCTAACACCTGGATATTTACACATCTGTTACTCTACAACTGCACCTCCACCCGCAGGCCCCCCAGAGGTGGACAATGAAGAGTTAAGGCTCATCATTAAGAAAATCTGGAAACATACAAAGCCCAAACTTCTGGATGAAATCCTTCCAGCTAGAGAGGGTATGGCTGATACCATTGTTCAGTTCCATAGTCAAGGGTACAACAGAAGCCATTTTCCTCATTCCCTTCATATGTGGGTGTTGATGGAAAGTGTCCATCTGGCTCATTCAGAGGGAGAGATAACACTGGGGAAGTTCTACGCCAGCTTTGTAATCCAGGACTACTTCAGAAAATACCGGAAGAGAAAGAATAACCGGAAGAAGAAGAAGGACAAGTCCTCTGCCCTGCAGGTTTGGATGCTGGCGTTGCTTTGCAAACCACAGTGAGCAGATGCTGCTCACAGTATGTGTTTAGACAGCTACTTCATTCACAGGCTGGCTTACGTACCCTGCAAGACCTGGGCCCTGAGATGCGGCTGGCCATGTCATGTGACCTGGAGGGGGAAGAGGAGGAAATAGGGGAGACGGGGGAGATGAAGGAGGATGAGGACTTCTACAGGGTGGGTGTGGTTGAGCAAGGAACTCTCTTCATTCCTGGCTTCCATGTTGCAACCCTACTGATCACTTGACATCATACCGGCCCCACAGAGTGATGACGTGTACGAGGAGGACATGGAGCTCCCTCCCAAAGGCAACTTTCTCCCCGAGTCACCAGACCTCCACGACACATGTGTGTCGGCCCAGGAGGAGGAGCTGGAGGAGGTCGTCGCCGTTGAGGAGGCGGCCGACGAGCCTCTCGAAGAGGAAGGGGAGCTGGAGGGGGAGCTGGAGGAAGTAGAAGCCGAGCCCCCCCCTCAGCTAGTCCAGGAGGAGCGATTAACAAATGAGGAGGTGATAGTCCAGCAACCGAAATTCACCAACAGGTAATCCCACATCTGGTGCAAATATATCTGCATGTGTGTGGAATTTGAGCCCCTACCTGTGTTGATTTATTGCTCACTTATTTGTTTTCTGCTCCTGCCTGAACCCTTCTCCCATCTCTGTGCCCTGCACCTGCTGTTATTCCTGCTTCTCCTCATACCAAATCCCACCCCCTTCCCCCCAACCCAAGCAGCAGGTACAGCCCTGTGTCCCAGTGGGAATACGCCCCCGAGGTTGGCGAGGAGAACGGCTCAGGTGTGCCGGGGTACTACACCTGGGGGGAGGACAGGGAGAGCACTGCGTCCCGGAGCAGGTGTGGCCACGGCGCGTTTGTAAAGGAGAGCCTGTCGGGTTACATTAGCTCGTGTTGCTGTATAGCAGCTACGCTCTGTATAATGCCCCTCCCAGGCCCTGGTACCCCGAAGCCCCCCCGCTATACCGTGGGCACACCTACGATGCACAGCCTGCCAACCATGTGGCCTACAGACCCCCCTACAGCAATGGGGAAGCACAGAGATCGGGGCATCAGCGCCGGCGTCTGCTCCCAGCCACCCCCACCGGTAGGACGGCCCCATCTTCCCAGGCCCACCCACTGCGATCAAACATCTTTCCTGGGGTTCTCTCAACACCCCCCGCCGCCCCCCCATCAGCTCCATGCTTTCCATATCTCGCCCATTTCCCTTCCTTTGCGCTCATCACGCTTGGCCTCTCCTCCATCTATTCACCCTTTCTTTCACCAGGACGGAAACCTTCATTTAATATCCAGTCTCTGAGGTACCAAAGCAGCAATGGCGACGCTCCCATCCCAGGAATCTATCGGGAAAACTCACCACATGTGCAGGTAACACAAACTCGAAAACAGGTAATATAGTTAGTACAGGTAACACAGACTCAAGTACAGGTAACATAGCACAAGTAGCACAAACTCGAATACAGGTATTATAGTTAGCACAGCTAAAATGGACTCAGGTACAGGTAACATAGCACAGGTAATAGAAACTGGAATACAGGTAATATAATTCGCACAGGTAACAGACTCGGGTACAGGAAACATAGCCTAGATAACACAAACTCAAATACAGGTAACATAGCACAGGTAACACAGACTCAGGTACAGCTAAGCAAGGTGTGTGACTCCTGTTATCCTCTTGAATACAACTCTCTCTCACAGACATACAGCACCATTGATCCTCATGGTGGCGGCTGGTCCTCTGTAGGATCACCCTCCTCCTCCACTTGGGCCAGCACAAGCCCGCGACATGGCCGCCTGCTCTACACTCCCCTCATCCTGGTGGAGGAAGAGGGGCAGGGGGCCCCAGGCCTGGCCACCTGGGCGGACGAGGTGACGGGTAGTGCCAGCCTGCCTGCTGCCACGTGTGTGCCCAGCTGGTTCACGGATGGCAACCGAACATTATCCAGCCTGGGGGTCCCCTCCCAGTTCGGCTCTCCGTACCTGGAGAAGAGAGGCAGCGCAGACAGCCTGGTGGAATCGGTAAGCTTCTGTCTGCAGGCAAAGCCTCAGAGTCTCATCCCATCTCCGTGCCCCTCTACTCCACCCTCCCTCTATCTCCCTCCTTTCTCTCAGGTCCTCATCTCCGAGGGGCTGGGCCTTTATGCCAAGGACCCAAAGTTCGTAGACTTCGCCAAGCGGGAGATCGCCAGCGCCTGCGACATGACTGTTGACGAGATGGAGAACGCAGCCAATGACTTACTGAGTCGAGGGAACCTCCGACGGCACAACCCTGAGGCAGAACCCGGGTACAGCGATGACGAGATTACATGGGGCCAGATCGAAGAGGACCTGGCGGACGAGATGAACTGCATGTGAACCTGTTCCTGACTCTTTTTTAACTGTGTAACATTTCTTCCGGAACCTTCCGTGTTCCTCTCGAGCTACCTGCTGTGCTTCTAGTTTGCTGTATAGAATCAGTTTTCCAGGTTTCTCATGAGAAGGAGCTGAACAGCTCTGGTTGACCACTAAGCAGCTTCAAGAACAATGAGTTTTACAGTAGTCGACATTTCTGAATATTGGCACTATATGTGTCTATGTAGCAGATAGCAGATGATGTGAATAAAGGAATTTTCACCTTGGTGTAATTTTCATTTTTTCCTTTTTTTTACAAAGAAAAACAGTACATATGTTGATCTTTATAACAGCCCCATTTCAGTTCAAGATGGTGCTGCATTTTTGAGTTTTTGCCATGACTGTTTTCTCCGATCTGTGGTGTCTAAACCAGGGATATCTAAATCACGTACTCACCATCCAGGCACTGCTGATTTTCCTGCCTCTGTGCCAAATCAGAATCAGTTATTATTAAACCAACTATCTTGGAGAACTGAAAACAAGCCCTGGATTTGGAATCGAGGGCCTGGTAGGAGGAGCCCTGGTCTAGGTTATGGGATATGGAAACTCCACGTGCCTGCAGTTTGGCCCAACTTCCCAAGCGGTGAACCTTAGCGTGCTGACTTAGGATTGTTTTTTTTGTTTGTTTTGTTTTTTTTACTTGAAGTGAGACGAACTCCAAAGAGGAACGGAGGTCCACATTTACAGCTATAGTCGCGTTTTAGTGAATTTCCACCCACCTTGCAGATGCTTCATCTGCAAAGTATCATGGGTCCCTGAGTTATCCTTAAAATAAATTTGCCTGTTTTCACCACCAAGATGACCACTTTCATTAGGCACCCCCCCTCTCGCAAAGCCCTGTAAGTAAATGAGCTTGAGTGAATGATGGTTCTTTCTTCTACCCAAACCTACATATCACCCTCCTCATGTTGTATCTGGTTTGAAGTCGTCTCTCATTCTCATAAACATGTTGGAGGATGTGTTCTGGAACACGGACATTTGGGAGGGGGTCCAGAGGTAATGGATGGAGAGTAATCTTTGGCAGGGTGTCTCAGTCCCTTTGCTTAAATCCACCATGTGCCTCTGAGTTTCATCCCACCTTAAGCCCCACACCTACCCAGTTCTCTGTTCCACTTGCCCCTGCCTCTCCTCCCTCTCTTTTTGCCCTCCATGTCCCACCTGGCCCGGCCCTGCCCTGCCCTGCCCTGCCATGCCATGCCATGCCATGCCATGCCATGCCATGCCATGCCATGCCATAACCCCCTCTATGCTGTCCACCCTGCCCCCCCTCACCTTCCACATAAGTGCCCTATCACGGATCTCTCTACTCTCCATCCATCCTTCGAACAGATTATCAATATTCAGAAAATCAGCAGCCAGGCTGTCAGTAAGTCTGACTCAAAATTACCATCATTTAACAAGGTGCTGCTGGGATTTGAACCCAGGATTTCCTGTTTACGAGACAAGTGCTTTAACCAACTAAGCCACAGCACCCCCTGTTGATAATCCCTACTCATACTTCAGGGATTGTCCAACTACCAAAACTAGTAGCCTGACAGCAGAAAATGTTTAGAACCAAGCCGATTGTACACATTATTGGAGTGAGTCAAGACTCCCCAGCTCCGTCACTCAGTGGATCGTGATGGTGGCAATTGAGATAATGAGAATCTCCAGAAATTTCAGCCAGATTTCAGTGATCTACTACTTAAGGAAAGTAAGGTATGGGCCCAAGAGTTTTGTGTGGACAATATTTTTCTAGAAATCACTGACGCAGTGTACTGCCACACCTTGAGTGAGAGGCTCCTGCACTGTAATCAGTCAGTGTGTGCTATGCACATGGCAGTGTCTGGTAGGGCTATGCTGAGATTCTGAACTCAAGCCTCAACTGGAGCAAATGATTTGCTCCTGACACCTTCTTCCCACAATGACTGCCTCCAGTGGAAAAAAGGCAAGACCCACAAGCATCTCATTTCCTTACAGTGGAACTAAAGGCACTGCTGGGATTTGAACCCAGGATCTCCTGTTTACTAGACAGGCGCTTTAACCAACTAAGCCACAGCACCTGGAGACAGGGAAAGGCTGGGCCACCACTGCCCTTGTCTCTCAGTTACGTAGTTTACAATTACAAGATCATGGCTACGATCCTTGCCAGCCCTTGGAATTGCTCAACACTTCCTCTACACAACCGCTTCAAATTCTTTCTTCTCCATAGCTTTCTTTCTCCAGGCCACTGCTGTTCACCTCAGTCATGTTCACTGCCCAACGAGGAAGGTAGCTCTGTGGCTTCTAGCAAACTCTTCAGTATTGATCTATTTTCTCGAGCAGCACTATTGTAATGCCTCCATGGCCTGAGCAAAGACATGCTACGCGAGTGCCTAGCTGACACTTTTGCTCTTAACATACAAAGTCCACATCTATCATGCCTCCAGCAGACATGAAGGTTGTTCTTGGCAAGTGATTCATCAACATTAAACTGGTCTAGCTGGGGAGTCGTCCCCCTCGCGCAATGGCATTACTTTAACTTCCACTGGTCTCGAACCTGAAAATGTTTGTATACACATTGTGTATACTTGCTAGTTTGGTGTCCTTTCCAGATTCCTACAGACTATACATAAGAATCCAAGCCCTATTAGCACACAGACTCACTTTTATTATATTGATTATAATTTATAGAGCTTGTGGAATGAACCCCCCCCCACAGAGCCACCATACTCAGCTTCAGATACACTGGGGGTGGGTGCTGTTTCTTGCACTGCGAAATTCATTTATAGTTAATACTTTTAACGCTTTTATTTTTGGATGCTGAACCTATCCATTTAGTATAATCGCTTATCCTATTCAGGGTCATGAGGGGTCCAGAGCCTATCCTTGAGTCTATGGGCACAAAGCAGGGAACAACCCAGCATGGGGCACTAACCAATTGCAGGGGACACTCACACACACTCCTACAGGCATTTTGGTAACTCCAATTCAGGGTCCCATCTCACTCAGGCCATGACCTCGGCACTCTGCTGGAAGGAGCACTTCCAGGCTAATGAAAAGCTTCTACCCGAGCACTATCAAAGAACTGAACTCAGTTAAATTACTATTCATTGCATCAAAGTCTTAAATGCCTCCTCCTCCCCCTGGTCTCATGTCCTTCACTGTCACCCAGGGCATCAATGAGACATAAATGCAATAACCCAGGGACTCATTGCACTTCTAGTAAATAGACCCACACAGATACTATTTATATACTCCCACCTTATACAAATGAACACAAAAACACTCAAAGTTTATTGCCCCGTATTGCTCGTGATTTTACTTTGCATGTGTGTAGCTTAGTATGCAGAGCTATGCTAGTGTTTTGCTGAATCTGTTTCAGGGGACACACCTAATTTAGTTATACAGTGGTACCTCAAAACTCAAATTTAATCCGTTCAGAACTCCGGATCGAATCCTAAAAAATTCGAGTTGTGATCGAATTTTCCCCATAATAAATAATGGAAAACCAATTAATTGGTTCCCGGACCCAAAAAATTACACCTAAATATGTCTTTTTTTTATCATTTAAACACAAAATGAACCGGATATAACAAGAAGAGCATATACTGTATTAAACACATCTAAGCACATTTATTGAAACAGTAATTTGTAAAGTAAGAAAATAATGTGTAAAGTAAAAAAAAAACAATGTGTCCTGCCCCGATCATCCGCTTCTTCCGTGTGCCACGCCCCCTCGTTAACCCCGTGTGATCAGCTGTTTCTGGTTGTTTTCATTAGCCCTCTGTATTTTGTCAGTGTTTCAGTTTGTTTCCCCAGTCCGGTCATTGTATTGTCCGTCTGCGTTTTGCCTACCTTACCTGTAATTAAACCCCGTATTCCCCGATACCCTGTCGTCTGCGCCTTTGTCTCCATTCTGTCCCAGCTCCGCAGGACAACATTATTATAATTAAATGTATTAATGGTTTATTATTAATATTAAAATAATAAGAAATCTTTATTTTTAAATGTATTTTATTATACAATAATATTCACTGTTACTGTCTATCGTTGTCTAAATGTATTTTTATTGTCTAAATATATGTATTCAGCTAGTGAAAACATGCATGACGCTATCAGAGCGAATGCGAGGCTGAAGCTTTTACCCTTTGTTTCCGCTGACAAACGTTCTGCATGACTCATTTCCCGCAAGTACAAGTTATCTTAGGTCCGCGTTCATACACGGTTTGACTTCTGAGATTCAGATCGAGCTCTAGTAAATTTTTTTCGAACTGGTTGGTTCGACTTTTAAGAAATTCGAGTTCTAATGAGTTCGAGAACTGAGGTACCACTGTACCTCAGTTNGGGGGGGGGGGGTAACCAGGGGAACCACAGCAGAGATTCAATCCCTGACTCCAGACATGTGAGACGACAGTGCTAACCACTGCAACACCATGTCACCTCAGATGCTGAATTCTGCACAAGATTTGTGTACATTTTTACATTTTACAGAAAGTATATTTAGCTGTGAACCAGTCATACTGGAATTCATACAGCGGGTGGATCCCAGGGGCATTGCTAGATGGCATCAGGGGCTGAGCACAGAGACGTAATTTGTCCAAGCATCCCCGGCTCCACCCGAGACCTCTGAAGTTACAATGATCGTAGCCAAGGGTGTAGGAGAGAGTTTAATATTGGAGAGTAGGGCAGGAGACACAACTTAAAGTGAATATGCACTTTGTTTTCTACTAATGTGAACAATATTAGGGGTGCATTTTGGTGGAAAGTGTTTAAAATACATGTCTCATTGCGCCCAGGATTAATCTGAAAATTGCTCCTGGAGACAAATGGGCTCTTTGCATAAAATGTATTGACGGCATACAGTATCCGCAAGCTTTTTGTTTGAGGAACTTCAGCGCACAACGTTGCAACTTGGACGATCGGATCGAGTCGATTCCAAAGATATGCACTTCTTGTCTGTGCGTTATACTTATCCTAAGTTACGAGCCTGAGATTCATTAATCGGTGCGAAAATCAACGAATTTTCTCAGGTTCTAAGAGTTAAATGGAAAGGTCTATTTTGGAAGGGGGGCCAAATTGAAATTGGTTCTTCCCGGGTCTTGCCCCGCAGTTCATAGCACTAAGGTTCTGGAAAACGTAGCCCAAGACCAGGACTGTTGGAATGTGTGGAATTCTCAAACTGGCAGAGCATGGTTATTACAACATGGAGCTAAACAAATCATTGGGGACTCG